TAGCTTTCCAAATCATTTTGAATCGCCTCAATCGGATATCAGAATACAAAGTTATAATAAAAATATTGAAAGAAGGTGCAGCTGCCTGTTTAAAACAAGAAATTTCGTTACATAATCCGTTATATTGAGATCTATTTTTGGCATAGAAAATGATCGAATTGGAGAATGATGAATAAATCAAAGTTGTAGCCAGATGAGTTAGCTTTCCAACGTATTTTGAATCGCCTCAATCGGACATCAAAATACAAAGTTATGATAAAAAAAACTGAAAGAAGGTGCAGCTACCTGTTTAAAACAAGAAATTTTGTTACATAATCTATTATATTGAGATCTATTTTTGGCATAGAAACTGATCGAATTGGAGAATGATGTCTGAATCAAAGTTGTAGCTAGATGAGTTAGTTTTCCAACTCATTTTGAATCACCTCAATTGGACATCGAAATACAAAGTTATGATAAAAACACTAAAGAAGGTGCAGCTGCCTGTTTAAAATAAAAAATTCTGTTACATAGTCTGTTATATTGAAACATATTTTTGGCATAGAAAGTGATCGAATTTGAGAATGATATCTGAATCAAAGTTNGTTACATAGTCGTTATATTGAGACCTATTTTTGGCATAGGAAGTGATCGAATTGGAGAATGATGTCTGAATCAAAGTTGTAGTCAGATGAGTTAACTTTCTAATTCATTTTGAATCGTCTCAATCGGATATCAAAATACAAAGTTATGATAAAAATACTGAAAAAAGGTGTAGCTGTCTGTTTAAAACAAGAAATTCCATTACATAATCCGTTAAAACAACAAATTCCGTTAGTTTTTCCGTTAAACCAACAAATTCCGTTAAATAGGCACTTTTTATATATAGAAAGATATCCCAATTTCAAATCAACTCAACAAAAGTAGAAAAACTACAACTTAGATTAGATTATAAAACAATTCATGATACACAAAATGAAAAATCGAATACAATATAGAACAATATGATAATGACAACAATACCATCTAGATAACTTACATTAAATATGTTTGAATACATACTTACTAATTTAATATCCATCATTCACTATCCATATTACAACAAAACCACAAAATAAATTAAAAAGCTAGCTTTTAAATCCAAAAGCATTCTTCTCTCTTTAAAATACTAGGTGTCGTTCTCTTTGTGTTTCAGATTTCTGTTTTGAGTTTTGAA